TGGTTCTAGCAGGCAACAAGCTCCTCCCCATTGGTCAAACTCTTATAAACGACTGTGCGTCCAGTTAAAGCCCCTTGATGAAGGCGTTTTTTACAAGTACCATCAACCGTTGTTGTAGGAACGCGCAAGACACGTGTCACGTGTGGGTTCTCCGCCACCATTCGCTTCCAAAGGCCGCTCATTGTAGTGCAGCGCCGCCATTTGCTTCCAAGGGCCGCTCAAGACACGGCCCTCGTACACTGACGCATTTAACGCTACTCGCAAGACAAACGCAAACCACATTGAGGGGCTTCACGTCCAGTCAGAGCCGTGTATTGGGAGAGTTTGACCAATAGGCGGAGCAAAGGCCACCGCCAGCGCCGAATGTTCCCCCCGCGCTTAGAGCGTAAACTAAATTCGTGACACAGCGTCGACCAATCAGGAGACCGCGACGTCACAATATTGCAAACGACATTCAAAGCGTGAAATAGAAGCGTTCAATCTCGGCCTCCCTGCTCCATCTCACAATTGTCGGCGATGAAGACAAAGGCACATGCGCGTGAGCCTAGCTCAGCAATTCGCTTTTGTTTGTACGAGAACTCGTGCATAGGAGGCACTTTCCAAAGCCACGCGCTCGTGCCCATGCCTTTGTCTGCACTGCTTATGTTTGTTCTCTCTGGGCCGGCTTGCTAGAACAGCGTCCTGAGACTGGCTGAAAGAAAACAGTGCAAAGGGTGGGGCGCGCGAGCGTCTTGAGACGTGGAGTCCCGCTCGGCTCGTGCGCTGGCTTTGGCAGTGCTTTCTTTCCCAGCTCAGCTGAGACGCTGTTTCTAGCAAGTCGGCCCTGGTTTGGAGCGCACGTTCGTTTATTCTACGCTTGAATATTGGCGTGACTAAAACTCAAATGCACAAAGTTTTCAGTCACCGAGAGCTAAACCTTTTCACTCTAGCGACGCTAAAACGACTCAAATTAGTCGCGTCACATATTTAGAGCACACGACCACCGCTAGGGGCTGTTTCGCGGCCTGTGGTTGGCCCCGATATGCTCGCCTATTCAAACCAATGTATGGCCAAACTCTCTCAATAAACGGCTCTGCGTCCAGTTGTCCAGTGAAGCTGGAACGCCATCTCTGGATAAAAAAACAAAAAAAATATACATGGCGGTCGTTTAGTGGCTTCCCGACAGCAACACCGAACGACAGCTGCCGTAAAAAAAAAAAAAAAAAAAAAAAAAAAAAAAAAAAAAAAATCAATTTTTTTTTTTTTTTAATTTGTATTTGGTGGTTTGATTTCAAATTTTTGGCACAACAATGTGACCAGTTAAAGACATTTTTGAGAAGAGTTGCTACAAGATCTGTGAAGTTTCTGATATTTGCTAACTTTTTTAGCGTGTATTTTTTTTTTTTTTTGTGACACCTTGTATTACTTTAAGTTCCGCCCAGAATCTTAGAATCAAATATTGTAGGAGGGGCACGGTGAAGAGGGTGCATGTTTAAGGGTTGGAGCTGACTTTACAACAATCGCAGCCCTCGTTCCCATAGAGATCATACATACTAACTCTATACTTCGTTTCAGGTTATGTGCGAGCGAAGTCAAAGCTAGAAATGCGAGCCCGACGCTCTGAGCGTTCCTGCTTCGCACGTGCGCTCGTGCACTACTGGCGCTGTTACAAGCAGCATGCTCGCGCTTGTAGCGTCGGCTTCGCTCGCACATAAGGTGAAACGAACTATAGAGGAAAAGGTCCGTCATTTTCCCATGCATTCTGGCTCCCGCAAGCGGCGGAGCATGGGGGCAGACTTTCGGAGCCCCACACATGGTTACCAACTGCCTTTAATTTCACGAATATAATTATATCCTCAGAGCAGATTCATGAACCGCATCAATCCACGTACTTACCGGTGGAAAGATATTCGCGTTCCTTTCGAAGCTTTCTTTTTGCACAGCGCGCAGGTGCAACCAGATAACCGGCTTCGCGGGTTATCTGGTTTAGTTTAGCGAGTGGGCGCGCCCAGGAATACGAAACCGCGCAATAACCAGATTTCCGAGATTTCGAAAATCTCGGAAATCTGGTTTCCATGGTCTTCACTCGTTTCCCGCCGTCTTCTTGCATCTGTGAATGACTTTCAGTGGTGCTGGGGTTGGGAGGTCCGGCCCACGAAACATCGCCTCCATAGCTAGGGCATGGTGCCCAGCCCACACTGCTCCTACTGTTGGCCAATGGAACCGAACTTCCGCGTCTTTCGGGACTCTTCGGTGGTGTGCTCCTTCTGGGGCCTAGTACATCATGACTTTCGGACGTTGGGCACAAGAAACTATGTCAGCTACGGCCGGAGCCCATGGGCTCGGGTTGACATGGCCGTGGTTACTGCTCATGGCCATTGGACAGCATGCTCTGGCTAAATCGATGTTCTGGGCTGGATCAGAACCGGCGCACCCGAGCAATGTCGCCCCTCCTCTCCCGGTTGCGTGGAGCTTTGTACCGGCACCCGGATTTAGAGCTCTTCTGGCTGGGAGAGGAGGAGTTTCTGCGGCGATGATCGTTTCGTTACGTCCCACTTGACCATGGACGAGCCGCCTTGGTTTTCGCGCTCCCACACATGCCTGAGTAATGCCCGCCCTCACCCGCTGCTCTAGCCCCTCTGTGCGCTCCTCTCGCTGTGTTTGAAGTGCTGTCCTTGTTAGTTTCTTTTGTTTTGCCTTGTAGGCTAAGGGCTAAAAGCTATCGTTTTCCGAATAGCAGATCATGTCCCCATCAAGATGTGTCAGTTCTGCCTTTTTCTGTTCAATGTAAAGTGCATTGTTTTTGTCACAGTGACCAAGTCCACCACTGCCCTTTGCACAGAGAGTGAATAAAATTCTCTATCCGGCCAATCGCCTTGCGAGGTTTCGGTCGTCTGTATGTTGGTATTTGTTTGTGCTCGACTAGTAGGCGGGGAAGGCAATGGCGCTGCTTTCCCAGCTTCCAGGGACTTCAGTGCACACCAGCTCGGAGCACGTGGATCGAAAGCTCGAGCTGCACATCCCAAGGGTCCCGGGCTCAATCCCTACCCCTGCTCGTTTTGATCTGGATGAGCATCGTACCGGCATGCAGTCGTGTATCACTTCTGCGCGGTGCTAGTTAAAAACCCCAGGCTAGCGGTTGTACTGCACTGGTTAAATTGCTCATCTACAGCACAGACACCAGACACCCATTGAAACAGACTAACTGCCGGCTGTATGATTGTACAGACACGAACTTAATGTTTTGTTATTTCACATTTGTTGACTGAGCGCGAGAAAAAAAATGGGGAACGGCCCGTGCCCCATCTTCGTTCCACGCTTCATCGAAAAAAAAAAAATTAAGAATCCGGTGCACATGCCTTGTATTGCTAAGCATAAAACTCTGAGAAAACAGCGAAAAAACGTTTCAGCCTGTCCACTCTGGTGAAGAAGGAAGACCAGCGAAACTGTATTATTGTGAGAATGAAGTAATGGCCGGCCGCAAATAGGCAAGCCAGAGTGGAATGGCTAGAAAGGTTGCCCACATCTATAAGCGATAGTGGCAACCAGACAACCGGTTGTCTGGTTCGCGCCTTCACTCATAGATGGAAGAAGCGGTCCAGAGTTGTCATCTGGGGGGCTATGTTGCGCTTTTTGCACTCCCAGGAGACTAGGGAGAGGGAAGTGACATCAACGACACAGCAAACGCAGATTGGGTGTTGATTTCGGTTTCTTCTGTCAACATCCAACCTGCGTTTGCTGTTTCGTTGACGTCACTTCCCTCTTCCAAGTCTTCTGGGAGTGCAAAAAGCGCAACATAGCACCCCTGGTCATTTGAGGACGGACATGATCTTGGGGAAACTAGCCCTTAACAGCTCCGCTGTAAAAAAGCTGGACTCCGCCCTCTATAACGCGGTCTCCTCGCCAATAGTGATGTGAAAGGCTCTTGAGATCGAATGACGACGGAGCGCGTGCTCGAGGCGCATGTCTCGCATGTTCGCACAACGATGTTTGTGTACCTGCAAGAAACGCTAAGCTCGGACTTGATCAAAAGGTTTTACAGCTAGCTAAATCCCCTTGATGTATTTGCATTTGTCTTGTAAGTAGCGTCAAATGGGCCCGCGCCAAGGCCCGTGCCGTGTGTGGCGCTTGGATGCGATTGGCGGCACAGCACTGAAATCAGCGGCCCTCGCAACCGAACGCTGGCGGAGAACTCGCTTGTCACATGTGTCTGGCGCGCTGCCATAGCAATATTTCGCGGAAGTTGTAGGCAACCAAAAGCGTTATCAAGGGTCTTTACGCCTAACCGAATCTTGACAACGATAACACTTTTGACGCATTGATTAATCATTGGCAACTAAATGTATAGAACTAGCTTTAAACTCAACAGATAATTGCACAACTATATCGATTCCCTATGGCCTGCATCACTCTCGTGGACGTCACGTCGGGGTTCCTGTGGTCGCCGTACATCTTGGCACTGCATTTACACGGTGGAATCATGGTATTTCAGGGAAAAGCATGGTGTTTCCTTTTAAATTTGTTAAGATAGACGAGATAGAAGTAACACGCTGCCGATTCCTGCAGGGTTAAAATCGTTGCGCTGCCCCCTCCCTAAATTCAGAGAGAGAAAAGTACCACCTGAATACACAGAGATAATAGCAGGGAATAAATTATTTTTTTTTATACTTTATAAATAGACTCTAACATTTGTTTCTACTTGCTCGCTACTTTTTATTCTAAAGGCACGAATGTGGTTTATTTGGGGACGTGGTTTGCATGTCTTTGTCCTTTTTGTGGATTTCCGTTCATCTCGCTAATTGATACAATCATTATAAATTAGTGTTGAAAGAGATTATACGTTTTCTTTTTTCTAGCGGACCCGACAGGTGGGAATGGAACGAAAAAAAGTGATGAAATAAAATTGTTGTAATGAAGTTTTATTTTTTTTGTACAATTTGTTATTCAAGCTAACCATCTGAGCGTTACATGATGCTCTCAAGGCTGCATTCGAGAGCAAGGCATGTATTTCACCGGAGAAGTCATTTTCCTGACACACATATATGTAAGTTGCGTGGAAAGTCCCGACATCGCAGACCTGAAAGGAATTATGGGATCTCATAAATGTGCATATAAATTAAGGGCGGCTTTCAGAAATCAAATACACATTTGAAATCACCAGAAAGTTTTACATACCCTTAAAATATTTGTTCAAAGATTACCCATTATAGTCTTTCGAGCTTATTTGCGTGTTTTCGCGTGACTTAAGTCTGAAGGTTTGATCGTCATGCAGTAGCTTTGTTTAATATTTTGCGGGTAACTAACCACATTAATACCAAACTTAAAGCGTCCTCACAAATTTCGTTGGGATCATCCCTTTTCATGTTTTTTTTTAATTATATTAATTCTATCTCAATAGTTTATCCCCAGGAATCTTTTTCACTCGGAAGCCTAAAGACGAGGTCGCATTGCTCACACATTATACAAATGATAGTCTGCATGCATGAGTAAGCGCAATTCCGTGGTTCGTATGCCTCGTGCAAAGTTTTCTCCTTGAACTCATTGCCATACGGCATTCGAAGCACGGATCTCGCGGTGACCTTCGTTCGAATCTGTATGTAGACTGTCATTTGTATGATTTATAAGTTGTGTGACCTGGGCTTAAAGCATCAGCCAACATTTCGCCAAGAGAAAGTCTTCTAGCGGGATGTTCGGTCCCCTTTTAACAAAATTATTTAAATGGCTGAATAAAAGCTGGACTGCCCGTGGAAGGTTTTCGGGGTGTTTCATTTTAGATTCTATCTAGAGCTTGGTCTTCATTCATGCTTTGCTTAGAGTTGTATATACGAAATATTAATCTAACGTCTTTCAGAAGCTTCATCTTTGAAGTGGGGAAACCACCACACATATGCTACACAACTTTGCGAGACAACGCCCCAAATATTGTTAAAGTCCTTAACATTATATAATAATTATCAGTGACAAAGCAAGCTTCCTTAGCACCGCAAAACTGACGAAAACATCAGTGTTCCGAATTTACCCTATAAAGAAGAAAAATAGAAGAAATGGACGCCCTCTGGAGCGCCGACCACAACTTTGAAGGAATTATATTCGCGCACAAAAAGGGACGCAGCAGTCACCTGGTTTGCACGGACAGTGATCCGTGTATATGCCACCTTTGATTGGATCCTCCGAACAGACTTGTCCGAATCGTCCTAAATTCTCGCATGTACGCGAGTCTTTATCACTTGATTGTACACAGCACGTGCCATTCTTGCAATCGAAGCCGGTGGTGCACGGATCGCCCACGTCTCCAGGACTGGGAGGTTTAACGCCAGGGGGAAACACTGGGCGCTGTCCCTGCAAAGTAGAAAATAAAAAACCGACACGGTTTTATGCTAACAGCACGGCCTGGTAAAATCTTAAGAATTTTGCTTGATGTTTTAGTCAACCGAGGATGCGAAGTGATTCCAATCATGTCACGTCCAAGGCAGACCTCCACTTTCCACCTCCTCCTCACGCCACTATCCAACTTAACTGCAGTCTCATACTTTGATAGTCGTACCGTACTTGTGTATGTACATTTAGCGGATTTCTTGCAATTGCAAGTGGTACAATAGGTTCCAACCTATGCTCTCAATCCCTGCACAATTTGAGGGCGTCAGGGTTAAAAACGTGGACCTTTTGTTTACCGAAAGCCTGACAGAGCATGCGTGGTATTTCAGAAAAACTTCTGCAGTATCGATTGTTCGCAAACATGCAACATTACGACCAGATTGTGTCAATAAAGGCTGAACTCCGTGGAGCAAAAAAAGACACGAACTTCGCCCGGCGGCTTTCGCTCTGCGCGTGACACCAATCAGTGCAGTAACTGCTGCGTCACGCGCAAAGCGAGCGTAACGCCGGGCGAACTTCGTCAGTTATTCGTCGCATATTCTCTCCATGGAGTTCAGCGTTAACTTTAGGCGTCAAATCAGTTGTCAACCATGGGTATACTGGACTTAACTGCGATAAATGTTTCCTGCTTTATCGGGACAAGCGCCACTTAAAAATCTAACTCCTCAGGCCCACAAAAAGGTTGCAAAAGTAGTGTGTGGAAATTTGTATATAATCAAAGCCCAGAAGGGTGCTTAAAGACAACCATTTGTTAAAGGTGTGCGGGTTTTACACGAAAATAAAATGTTTCTTCAAATATTTTTTTAAGGGATAACTTACCTCAAGAAAAGCAGTGACTTCTGGCAGCAGTGCCGTTATGATGACGGTCAAGACCAGGGCTGTGCAAAGTGTCTTCATGGCCTTGTTTTTGTGTTCGGCTCGCAGGAATAGTTTAACCAAACCCCAGCCCCGACCTCGTTTTATAGAAAGATCCGCTCCGCCTCCTCTCTATAGCAGACATTTATTAACAGATGTGAACTTTGTGTATAACACAAGAAAGGTAGTTTCTTGCGCATCTTTATTGAAAATAAATATAAAAATAAAAATCATTGCTTTCCAGCTGTGAATATATGACGATGGATTCTTATGAAGTGACATTAAAACACAATGTACATCCGCAAAAAAATTCTTAGAGAGAGTGTCAGGACGGCGATAGCGGTCGATTGTTCGTGAAAGTTACTTTTTGAGCTCACCCATCGATGTGCGTCATCGTGACACACATCGTGGGACGCAGACTTTCGTAACTTTCTCGGAAGAAGACAATTGGATCTCAAGCCATAGCCTTGCAGACACGCATTGTTCGCGACCTAACTGTCAACTAACAACTAATCAACAAAACAAATTTTCAACATTCTGGACACCCAGAGGACGATAAAGCTTAAAATAGTGCACAATTCCATGAGAAAAAAGTTTGACGTTAATAGGGAGTTTTAGAATAGCGCACTCTAAAGCTTTGCGTACGCAAAAAATAGCGTCGTCGCCACTGCGCATGTTCCGAACGCAAACCAGGTTTTGCGCTTTGCGTGCGCAATTTTAGCGTGCGCTATTTCTCGGAAATAGCGTGCGTACGCAAAGAGTCTTTGCGCTTCTCCTAGGAGGATTCGTGATGAGAAGTTGGCTAAATCCAAGACGAGCACAGTTAAAAAAACATGGCGGCTTCCAGGATTATGTGGCATTCTCCATGCGGCGGCTGCTTTGGCGGCGTCGTGAGTGCGACGTCGGCGGTATCCTCGCGACTGCAATTTTCAATACGGGACGACATTGTACTCGGTTTGGCAGCGATTACCGACAACTTGATGCTTGCGACGCGCGAACATTTCACGGCGAATGTATGATGTGCGAAGGTCAGTACACGAGACCTCTCTTGCCGAGGCGACGCAAGCGGACACGACCGCTCAACCGCTCACGTCGCGTTCTCATGTTTAAACAGATTAAAATGCTACTCTGGACCAAAAACTCGTTTTTTTTTCTAAAGTTACAGCATTTCGTGTGTGAACTAAAAATTTTTACTGTATCTTGGTGGCGTCGCAAGCGCGAGATGCTTGGGCTTTTGCGTCGCGGCGGAGAAACGCTATTCTAAAACTCTCTTGCGTCGCGTGCGCTAATACAAGCGCTAAATTTAGAGCTAGCGTGCGCTAAAATTGCGTACGTTATTCTAAAACTCCCTATTAATCTACATTAAAAACGTGCGTGGCCCGAAAAAGGTTCTCCGTGGCATCTCGAAACCGAGAGGTAGGGTGTCTGAAAAGGTGACCTTTGTTTCAACATATTGTTGCCGATTGAGTAACAAAGTGCCAGTTCATTAAACGAGCTTTGAAATTAGAAAAATTTGTTTTTGTTTGATTTCTCTATAGACGACCATCTCAAACACTTCATTGCATGCAGTCCCTGTAAAGCACTGTCTCTTAGCTTCCCATGCCAATAATTTAATTAAAAATGAATGAATAATGGTGACTGATCGGCCATCTTTTAAGCCATTCCAGAATGCTATAATAAATTAAATACTGTTTGTTCGTGTACCTGCATCGACGTGCACTATCGGCTTACACGAGATAGATGAGAATGAAAAAAAAAAAAAACGGCAGTTTGTAATACAAAAACGTTGACATTATTAAAGATGTAAAAAAACGTGTGCCGAAAGTCAATTTAAAAAATGGCAACTTATAGAAAGGGAAACTCAGAACATCAAAGTAAATGCTGTGGTAGCTTATCTGTACGTCCGTTTATTATTTCAGTGTTAGGTTGGGTAATATAATAAATACGCCTTAACATAATATTAAATATTCCTCTACAAAACGATACGAATTCGTTAAAATTGATATTGCGGCTGACTAAGAAAACGCTTACTGAATATAATTTTAAAAAATCACCGCGCAATTAGTTGATTATGCAGAATTTTAAGATTATTAACTTTAATATTCACATTCAAAGTCAAATTCAGATTATTTTCGTCTATAGATTTTTACAAGCAACGGGAGACGTGGGCAAAAAGCCAACGTATGTTGACAGGCCCGGCAGAGACAGACAGACAATACAAAATATATAAAAAACACAATCTAACTACAAAGAACAACATTTTATATTTAAGCAAATATAAAACTCACAAACATTAAAAGGTTAATCATTATTACAGTCTATACACGTGTCAGTATGTTACTTAAACATAATTTTTATGAAATGTAATGGTAGCGTTTTTGCAGTGACGTTGCTTCCTAATAACTTATTTCGTTATGACGGGAGGTTACCTCTTAGCATCTGGGTTCCGTAATTTGTTTTGCATTGTGGTATTTTCCAAGCATCCGTGTTATGAAGGATATGTAAATTTTAAATTCGCGTTTTATGAGCTATTTGGTCAATTATGTGAATATTAATTTTTCTGCTTGTTATGAGTCTAAGAACTGGGGTGTAATCAAAGAGATGGATAACCAGGAACATGTGCAGTGCTTTTCAAAATCTGAAAGTGTGTAATATGGTACATTATTGGGAGATCGAATCACCTTTTTTGAAGAACATGAAGTTTATTTATGTTAGTTGCTGTTTGTGGGGTACCTTGAAGGAGATGATAAGAATTTAGATGGTGAAGCGAGCAGAGTCGTATTTGAATAATATAATGGTTGCCGCAGGCATGTATTTTTTTGTGTGAAAATACCAAGCATTTCTCGATGGTCTGTTTCTTATGACCTAGACTGTATTATAATTAAACAAAGAAAATACTTTGATCTGCACGCTGGAAGCCTGTTCAGTGATTGCGGTAACGCCCGTGAGAAAAGCAACAACCGTGGATGTCACCTGAAGTGCATGCTGTTTCATGGGCTTTTTCTCGCACAAACTTTATAATCAAATCGATTTTCTTTTTGTAAGCCGCTCCAATATGCAGCATCACGAGAATTGACGCTCTTTACTGCATCAATCACAACATTGTCAGAATTCTACTTGATTCACATAAAAAAGGACGCTGCAATCACCTAGGTTGCACGGACGGTGTTCCTTGTCCTTGATTGGATATCCGAACAGCTTTCTCTGTGCTTCCCCAAAAGCTTGCAAGTGGTGAAATTGTTGTCACTAAATTCTAAACAGCACGTGCTGTTAGAAAAAAAAACTGGGTTGTGTGTATGTTTATAAAGCCTAGAACTTAGTCTGCCTCAACGGGCGACGAGTTTCCCAGCTGTAGATGAGAAATTTAGCCAGTGTAGTAGAACCGCTGGCCTGGGGTCTTCAACGTGCACCACGCAGTAGTGATACACGACCGCACGCCGGTACGATGCTCATTCAGATCGAAACGGGCAGGGATGAGGATTGAACCCGGGATCCTGCTGCGCGAGCTTTCGCTCGGCGTTACTAGTTCACTGTATCCGCGTACTCCGAGCTGGTGTGCGCCAGCCCACTCGGCCACCGATCCCCCTACGTGCTGTTAGAAAAATTAGCGGCCGCGGCGCACTGGTTTTACAGCGAAGCTGTATTCCTCTACTAGCCAAGGAAATTATCGTGTCATTGGAGTTGTAAGCAAAAAACTCCCGGCCAACAATCGAAGGCAAAACAGCATATCTCTATTGAAATCAGTAATACAGCATACAGCTCAGTGTCCGTTTCAATAAAGAAAACCAGAAAACTAGCATCAAAACCACATGTTGGAGAGTAAGGCGCGTGTGAACAATAGGAACGCCTTCCACGCGTTCCGGTAAAGATTAGGTTTGCAGCTGCTTCGAAAGGGCTTGACGTCATTAGCTGCCGCGGCGACGGCAGCTTGCCACGTGGGGAGTGACGTCACTAGTCTTTCATATATAAAAGAAGAACCCGCCTATACCCCGTTTCTCCTTACGTCCGTACGCAGCGGATGCTACGAGCTATCTTAGCCAATCCCGTTCTGTGGACGTGGCCCGTCATACGCTTTCCGCGCGTCGTGTGCCCCCTCTCTAAGGTCACGTGACACTAGCGAGTTTTAGTAGACCGTGTTTCCCGCTCCGCTAAGCCCCTCCGCTACCCGGAACTCTACAGCCAAGGCCATCGGCGCGCAGGCGCAGTGGCGGTTTCTTCGTAGCGGAGGGCTAGCGGAGCGGGAAACACGGTTTACTAATGGTGAATTCCGCTCGCAGATCTCGAGCGCTCCAAAAGCGCTCCATTTGGAGCGCGCATATTCCGCTCGCAGATCTGGCTCGAGTTGGTAATCTTCCGCTCGTAGATCTCAGGCAGCGCCCGCTCCACGGAGCGCCTCAAACCCCGCCGAACGTGCTCTGCGGGAGTTCACAGATCTCTCCGGAAGTTGACAGGGCGGCCTACGTGATTTCCGCCTAAATCGGCAGTGCGCATGCGCGGCGAGGTTGGAGAGGACTCAGCGGGCCGGTCAGAGCATCGAGTTGGATCTGTGTGGGTGCGTCGGTTGTCTACGCGGGATTGTGACGACTCGAACGCTTCTACCTCGCGTAGATCAGGGATACAAAGCCGGGACTGTGGAGCGTGGTAAATCGTAAGCGCTGACATCTGGGATCGTGAGAGGAAGAACGACAGAAAAGCCGGAGGCAAACGCATGGTTAGGCCTGTTCATTCTGCAGCCATGATTGTTTACCTTTCTAATCTGCATTCCGCCGGCGTTTTACCGTGAAATAAAGCAAGACGTGATTAGGCAACGATCGCGCTAGTGATTGTTTCTTACCTCTGTGTTTATTAAAGTCGTACCAGAAATCTGGACTCCACCGCTGGCAATCGCTGTCCGTGCCCCGCCGCTTCGAGGCGGCCGAAAGGTATGCGACGGTACCGAACGCGGACGCATTCGTGATTTGTGACATGGGCGCCGTGGTATGTATAATTTCGCCCGGCCTGTGTCGCGTGTTATTTCTGCAGCTAAGCAGTGACAATCGTCA